GGCCAAGCAGCATCCTCTCTGCTCCTATGATGCTGCTTGGCCTGCTGTGTTCATCCAGCCCTGCACCTTGTTGTCTCTAAACATTAAAATAAATGCCTTAGCCAGTGCATTTAATGCGTCTAGAAAGAGACAGTGAACTCCTCCAACTTTGACTATAAAAATACAAGGTGTTCAATAAAGTTAGGAAAGGACAAAAATGGGGAGGGGTGGCAACATTGATTAAGGAGCGTATTGCCGTACTTGAGAAAGAGGAAAAGTCTGAGTGAGGTGTTATTATACATTCGTAACCCTGCAATCGGAGCCTATGATCAGAAGCGTATCTCAATTAATTTCTCTTAAGTTCCACCAGAGGGAGCTAGATTCCAGGACATGTAACGGGTTGGCAATGTCCAACTCGCCATCCATACCTATAGAAGAAAGTATAACCCTCTTCTTTAAAATACAATTTAGCTAATAAACAATTGTAAATTTCCTGGAGAATGCAATGATCTGAATAGAAATCCTCAAAAAATATTACCCCAGAGAAGGAAAAAGCAGCCAGGTTTGCTGAAAGTTTAATATGGAACATTAGATGAGACAATATAGGTATTAATTGAACATATAAGAAAGCATACAGTTTTAGTGCTTATACAAAGAGCATAAAGCACAAAGCTAAATAATAAGACGTGAACACAGAAACAGAACTAGGCCATTCAGTTCACCGAGTTTGCTCTGCTATACAATGAGATCATGGCTGATCTGTTAGTCATCAACTCCAGTTTCCTGCCTTAGCCCCATAACTCTTGATTCCTTTACTGACTAAAATCTATCTCAGCCTTGAATTTATTTAATGAATCAACATCTACAGTCCTATGTAGTATGGAATGCCACAGATTCATTACCTTCTGAGAGAAAAACTTTGTCTTTATCTCTGTCCTAACTCAGTGACCCTTATTCTGAGATTATGTGCACTGGTCCCAGACACCTCACACCAGTGGAAACTACCTCTTTGCATCTATCCTGTGAAGTCCCCCAAGAATCTTGCATGTTTCAATTACATCATCGCTCATTCTTCTAAAATCCAACGAGTACAGGTTCAATCCACTCAATCTCTCTTCACAAAACAGTCCATTCATACCAAGGATTAACTGATTGAACTTGCTCTGCACTGACCCCAATGCCAGAATATCTTTCCTTAGATAAGTGGCCCAAAATTGTTCACAGTATTTCAGGTGTGGTCTAACCAGTGCCTTGTACATTTTATAATCAACCTGTTCAAAGGTTATTACATACCTCTGGCACAGGTGGGGCTTGAATCCAGGTCTCCTGGTTCAAAGGTAGGGATATTACCACTACACTACAAGACCTTAACTACTATATTCTGCTTCAAATAAAGGCCAATATTCCAATTTCCTTCTCTAATACCTGTTGGACTTACATGCTAGCTTTTTATGATTCAAGCATGAGGACTCCCAAATCCATCTGTGGGGTGGCTTTCTGTAAACATTTTCTATTTGAATAATATTCAGTTCCTGTAGTGCATAATCTCACACTTTCCTGCATTATGTTTGATCTGCCAGGTTTTTGCTCACCCACTTGACTTTATCCCTCTGCAGATTCCTGTAGTTGACTTTCCATCTGTTTTTGTGTCATCGGCAAAATGAATGATACCTCACCCAAGTCATTATATGTATTGTGAATATTTGTGGCACCAGCACTGATCCCTGTGGCAATCCACTAATTACAGGTTGTCATCCTGAAAATGCACCACCCTACTCCCAACTCTCTGTCTTCTAAGTTAACCAATTCTCTATCCATGCTAACGTACTACCTCCCAAACCATGTCTTTTATCATATTATGTAGCCTCATGTTCTGGTACCTTTATAAAATGCCTTCTGGAAATCCAAATATATCAAATTCATTGGTTTTCCTTTATCAATGGCCTAGTGGTATTATCGCTGGACTGTTAATCCAGAGACCCAGGTAATGTTCTGGGGACTCAGGTTCGAATCCCACCACGGTAGTTGGTGGAATTTGAATTCAATCAATATCTGGAATTAAGAATCTAATGATGACTATGAATCTGTTGTCAATTGTTGGAAAAACCTATCTGGTTCACTAATGTCCTTTAGGGAAGGAAACTGCCATCCTTACCTGGTCTGGCCTACATGTGACTCCAGAACCAACAGCAATGTGGTTGATTCTTAACTGCCCTTTGGGCAATTAGGGATGGGCAATAAATGCTGCCTAGCCAGTGACGCCCTCATCCCGTGAATGAATAAAGAAAAAGAAATCTGTCTTGCTCATTAACTCCTCAAAGAATTCCAACAAATTAGTCAAGCATGATTTCCCCTTTATGGAGCCATGCTGACTCTGCTTGATTATATTATGCAATTCTAAATACTCTGTTAATACATCACTTATTTATTACATTACAATGCTAACATTTTCCTAATACAGATGTAAGCTAACTGGCCTATATTTGCCAAATATTTCTCCTTCCATTTTTGAATAAAGATGTTGCATTGGCAGTTTTCTAATCTCTTCCTTCCTACTCCAAGTTGTTCTCCATCCCCAAAGAGACATCCTTAACCCTGGCACCAGGCAGTGAACACAGCCTTTGGGATTCCCTCTTACAGCTGCAGAGGAATGATCTAGCCCCCTAATTATGCTGTCCCCTACCACTACTACATTTATATTTTCTCTCCCCACTTGAATGACTTCCTGGACCACAGTGCTGTGGTCAGCTCACTCATTCTCCCTTTAGTCCACACTCATGTCCATGCAGCTTACAAGAACCTTGTAGCTGTTGGACAAATTCAGTGGCCAAGGTTCCTCAAATGCAACCCGTGCAACCCCATACCTTCCTCAGTGGCTATCACAGGTCACAGACAAATTTGACTTATCTAGTCTGCAGGGATGGGATCACTTTCTGGAACAATGCATTCAGATAACTTTCCCCTTCCCTGTTATGGTGCAATATCATAGCTGAGAGTCCAGATCCTCAACAAGGATCTGAAAATCTTTGAACTGCAAATATTTACTACAGATGTGTTCACTCTGGTTCACATTGGTGTCCAGAATCTTCCACATGCTACAGCTACACATCACCTGTCCTGCCATCTCTCATGTAATGAGTTAAATTATAAACTAATTACTTCACTATAACAATATTTTTAAATGTAAAAAAAAATTACCACTATAACTTTATAGTTACCCAGCTCTCTTTTTTAAAGAAACAATATCTTCAGGTATCCAGTGTTTTTCTTCTTTCTGTTCTTAAAGTCCAAAAATAGCCATCAATTCTACTCACTAATCACATTCTTATTTCATGTTATGGTTCATGACATCCCTCTGTCTCCGGTCTCACTACAGTTAGACCTCTCGATCCACTCCTTTTATTATGTACCAGTCACCTTTCATTCTATAGCACTTAATTCTTGCAGTAAACCTTAGTTAAAGCACTTCTGTTGCCCTTTGCATCAATTTCCCACTTGAATTAAATTTCCAGTTCACCACTCAGCCTTTGTCTGACTCAATTGAAGTCTCCTTCACACTGACTGTGCTCCTTACTGACTGTGCAGTGAAAAATCTTTCATTTTTACTGATCTGTTCAGAGTCACTTCTTAGATACAGTCATCAGCACCTCATTCCCAGAAAAGGAAGGGATAATTTGTTCTTATTTCTCTGAGAGGATGCAACTTCAACCTCTACTTAATACAAGTTAAAGACTTTAAAAGAAAGTAAGGATATTCATCAAACAAGAAAGTAATATTACCTTGATCCTTGAAAGTGTTAGGTTCAGAATGAGTTTGAAGTGAAGGTAATCGATACCAACAGCTCACTGATAATGAATTTAATCATTTAGGTTCGGTGAAATATCTTTAATGAATGAATCTTCTGGTGTTATCTAATTAAAAAGAGACATAGAAAATGGTTACTTGCTCAATAATAGACCGTATTTGGTGATAGGGTCTTTCCATTGTAATTAGGTTACCTGTCCAAATTCCAAGAGATACACTTTTAAATCTATTCTGGAAAACCTTGGCCTAGGTAACAATCAGCTTGGGCAGTATTTTTGGTCATAGTACTGCCTCCAGTAAGACAGTAAGATTAGAGGCTTAGAGTTTCCTTATCAGTGTGTGTTGTTACTTATATATGTTCTTGCACTGTTGTAGTTCTTGGTTCCCTTATTTCCTCACTAATCATCCCCTTTACAAGCAAAGGTCAATCGGGCAATTCTTGGAACCTAATGCTGTCATAAACAGGGAACCAATTAACCATCTTTCAGGATAATCTCCAGATCACCTTGCCTTAAAGGAGACATTATATTGACACATACATACACACAATCAGACACAATTGCAGTTCCTAATGCACACAGGTCAATCCTGTTATAGCATCATAGACCTTTACAGCATACAAACAGACCCTTTTGTCCAACATGTCCATGCTGACCAGATATCCTAAATTAATCTAGTCCCATTTTCCAGTATTTGGCCCATATCTCTCTTCAACCTTTCCTATTCATATACCCATCCAGATGCCTTGTAAATGTTATAATTGTATCAGCCTCCACCACTTCCTCTGGCAGCTCATTCCATAAGCGCACCACACTCTGCGTGAACAAGCTGCCCCTTAGATCTCTTTTAAATCTTTACCCTCTCACCTTAAACCTATGCCCTCTAATTTTGGACTCACCACACCACCCCCCACCCAGAAAAGACCTTGTCTATTCACCCTATCCATGCCCCTCATGATTTTATGAGCCTCTATAAGGTCACTCCTCAGCCTCTGATGCATCACCCAATTCAGCCTCTCCCTATAGCTCAAACCTCCCAACCCTTGGCAACATCCTTGTAAATCTTTTCTGAACCCTTTCAAGTTTCACAACATCCTTCCACAACTTCCACAACATAGCAGGGAGACTGGAATTGCACGCAGTATTCCAAAAGTGGCCCAATCAGTACAGCCACAACGAAAGTTTTGTTTGTGAACTACTATGTATGTGTGTGTATTTATTATGTAGGTAAGATCATGGAAAAGCTAAATCCGGAATAACATTTTCATATTGACACTAAGATAAAGGGACATAAACTGGACAAAAGGTTAATTTAACTGAAAGCAGGAAATTCTTTACACCAAGATTGATCAATGTGTAGAGTTCTAAGAGGCAGTGTGGAAATATAACTAAAATATTTTAAGAAACAAATATCGACAGTGTTGGTCGATGCTGGTCGGATTAGGGCTCTGCTGTGTTGAACGAAGCTGGTCAAAACCCTTCTCATATCTGTTACTATCTGATATTGTGGCATAGGAAATCGCACTGCAGCTGCATGGCATTGTGCAAAATGCGTACGTTTGAAATAATGTAGACATTACAAGACCAATATAATTCTGCAAACTACTTAATGACTTTTCCATCATAAGAAATCATGAAAGTGGAAGTTCACTTTTTATTATGTTTCTTTCTCCAAGTCTTTCTACTGCTGAGAACTAATTGCAATGCTGTTATATGTTATATGTCATACATGTTATATGGAGCCAAAAAGTTTGGCTGAAGATTTGTTGTAAACATTAATGTTATTGTTAACAGAAGTGTTGAATAATGGGGGCAATAATAAACAATCTTAAAGCTATTGTTTGGATTTTGTGTACGACCTGTATTTTTTCCCAGAAATATTTTTTCAGTACCGTCAAACATCTTATTCAATTTTACTGTCCAATTAACTGCAACCCTGTTTAAAAGCATATCATTATTCACTTTTCTACTTCATTTTCAATTTTGTCCAAGTTCTGGAATTTGTTAGAACCAATGTATAACAGATCTGCGATTTCATTGGAGCCTTAACACTTTTGAATGGTTTGTGAGTTAAGTAACTACGCAAATATCTAAAACGAAAAAAACACTTCCGTGAGCTAGATATCTTTAAACCAATCAACAAAACAAAACAAGAGTTTGTTTAAAAAAAACAAAATAAAAAACAACTATTCTGAAAATCTGAAGCAAAAGCAGAAATTGCTGGGAGACCCCGGACTCGAAACGTTAACTCCGCTTTCTCTGCATAGATGCTGCCAGACCTGCTGAGTTTCTCCAGCAATTCCTGTTCTTATTCAACAAAAGGTGGTCTTACTCAGAACTCCAGAAGATACACCTCAAACTATGGAAATGTCCCAACAGATGGCGACAATGGTAACCTTTATTTACTGTTACCGTATTCATTCGATCATTCTTAAAATCATTTATTTGTAAATATTTTACCTTTTCCTCTTCCCACTCGGTTGTTTTGGTGAAGACTTTGGTATATCTCTTGACGATAAATCACTGTCGTTTGTATTTGAAACGTTTGTATTTGAATCCTATAATTAAGCCCATTTCTGAAGAAGGGTCCCAACCTGAAACGTCAACTTTCCCGTTCCTTTGATGCTGCCTGGCCTGCTGTGTTCCTCCAGTTCCACACGGAGTTATCTCTGTACTGAGTCCCGGTCTGGATCCAGGACTGGATTTAGACACGGAGCCGGATCCGGACCCAGAGCCGAATCCAGGACTGGATCAGGACAGGGTCGGACCGGCCTGCTGGTGTCAATCCCTTAGGGAGCGCGGCTGTTGCCGCCTCCCGCCACATGGTTGGTTGCCTTCGTTGGAGGAGGCAACTCTGATTGGTTAGTTTGCTGTCAATCGCAGCGTCCGTGTGTCCGGCTGCACGGGAGCGAGTGGGGCACGGGCGGGGGCCGGGGCTGCGCGTTATATAGACGACGGACGGTGAGCGAGGACGGCAGCAAAGGGTAGGTTGTGTACGGGCGCCATGAAGTTGACAGTGGATTTCGATGAGTGTCTGAACGACTCTCCACGTTTCAGGTAGGCCGTTGTTCCAGTAATGATCCCCAGTCTTTGCGGGCAGGAATGTCCTTTCGCTCAGTTCCCTCTCCGGATGCCTCTCCCATCTGGTCGTGTTAGAGTGCTTCTGTTTGTAAAGCTGGAAAGGAGAATCAGTGCTTCATTTCGATCTTGTTTATCGTTTGTTATTTCTTCGCTGTTTTAAATCGTATTTCAGCAAACTCGACATAGTATACGTATCCAAAATAATTATCAGCTAAATTTTAATTGTAAGCTTGAATATTTTTTGAGGTTTTTTTAAAGTTAGCTGTCTTTTGTTCTTGGCCATCTTTTGGGCTCATGTTTATAGTGTAAATGTCTGATCCCAGCAATTTTTTTTTAAAGGGAGGGAAGGGATGGGATGGTCTTTGTGCTACCAATCCAATTATCCTTGATTTGCATTCTTATGCTAACACTTCTCAATGTTGGTTGGTACAGGTATCTATAATACATTCATTATGAGGTTTGAATGGCTGAAATTGTTAAAATAATCAGCTACTGTAAAGTTTTTGAAGTCTGTGAACCATTTTTTTTGATGTCATTGGTATTATTAAGTTGCATTTAATATTTTGGGAATAATTCTTGAATTTACAATATTCTAAAACGTTGGAAGTTTTTAAATCTTAAAATAAAATTTCTAATTTTTGCTCTGAAAACATTGAAATCTCAAAATTCACTTTGTGTTTTTTCTTGCTTTGGATTAGCATTTAGTCTGATCTTTCACATCTGTAGACATGATTCTTTATTGATTTTAAGTAAAGAGTCATTTTGAGTTTACTGTGAATTTGACTCTTCATGAAAGTGAAGAAAGAAAAGTTTGGGTTACGTAAATATAGCTACTAGCATGCAAACATGCATTCATCTTAACCAATCTATTTGTGCCTCTCCTCTGGTAAATAGTCTAATTTCAGCTACCTTTTCAATTTTTCATCACATCTGAACTAATTTTAACTGTTAATGTAGATAATTTGGCAGCCATCTTGCATAGCATGAGCTCATTAAAACAACATCATTGATCTGGTTAACAGAAAGGAAGAGTGGGGTAAATGGGTGTTTTTCTAGTTGGCGATCAGTGGTGAGTGATGTGCCTCAGCGATCAATGTTGGAACTGCAATTGTTCACGATTTGAGTTAGAGACCAAGTGTGAAGTGTTAAAGTTTGCAGATAAAACTAAGATGAGTATTGGAGCAAAGTGTGCAGAAGATGCTGAAAGCCTGCAGAGGGATATGGATAGGTTAAATGAGTGGGCAAGGGCCTGGCAGATGTACTATGATGTTACTGAATGTGAGGCTAGCCATTTTAGTAGGAATAACAGCAAAGTGGACTTATTTAAATGATGAAGAATTGCAGCATGCTGCTGTGCATGGGCATCCTTGTGTATGAATAGCAAAAAGTTGCTTTGCAGGTAATCGAGAAGGCAAATGGAATGTTGTCTTTCATTGCTAGAGGGATGGAGTTTAAAAGCAAGGAGGTCATGCTGCAGCTGTATATTGTGCTGTGTACAGTTTTGGACTCCTCACTTGAGAAGGATATACTGGCGTGGGAGGGGATGCAGAGACGGTTTACTAGGCTGATTCTGGACTTGAGAGGATTGGCTTATGAGGAGAGATTGAGTATGGGTCTATACTAAATGGGATTTAGAAGAATGTGGGGTGTTTATCTTATCCATTCCCTTCATAATTTTTATGTTTCTATAAGATAGAAGCACTGAAGCTGTTCCCACTGGTGGGTGAAACTAGAACTAGGGGGTGTAACCTTAATAAGGAAGCAGGTTTAGGATTGAGTTGAGGAAGAACTTCTTCACCCAAAAGGTTGTGAATCTCTGGAATTCCCTGTCCAGTGAAGTAGTTGAGGCTATCTTGTTGAATGTTTCTAAGGTAAAGACATTTTTGAACCTTAAAGAATTAAGAGTTATGATGAGCGGGTGGTTAAGTCTGTGAAAAGATTAGCTGTAATCTTACTGAATGGCAGAGCAGGCTCGAAGGGCCAGTTGGCTTACTCCTGCTCCTATTTCTTACATTCTTGTGTTCACTTTTGGCAGTGTTGATTGTGGCTCTTTATTGGCAAGAACATTGATAGTATTGATTGATTAGTCTATATTTTGTATTCAGCTTCTGAAGTGCAATTTGATCTGATTATCTGATTCTGAATGTTATTGTACAGTTGATAATCTGCTTTTCGTCCATGTTGACACCAGTTCTTGCAGTCAAGTTGTACGTTGGCCAAATACCTTGATTGTAGGTTCAGAAGAAATGTTACAGTTTGTCTAATGGCAATATACAAATTGCAGTGTCTGATACCAGTTGTTTTACCATGAGATGGTTATTCAGTTTGGCATGTGTGGTCATGTGCAGTAGGAGCTAAAATGTGCAGATATTCTCAACCTGTTTGTTTGATTTTTTTTTTATCTCCAGAGCTGGAGTACAAAGGGCTTTGTTAATTTCTTCAGTGTCTCAATCGTGTATATGGATTTTTTTTTTTGTTTTGGCGACTGCTTAGAGTAAAATGTGATTGGGCAAGCAAAAGAAATAACTAAAACATCGCTTCCATCTTGCATAATTTTCTCCCTTAGCTTTGAAAGTAAATTCCTTATTTTGCCTGTTGAATTTATAAATGTGGAACTAAGATATTTCCTGTTTTAGTAGTGCAGTGATCTCAAATGAGTGTGACTTGTTAAGTAGCAAGTAACAAAGTTGAACAATTTATGGGGAATGTCACATTGAGATTACAGATTTGATTGTTGGCTGTAATGTATTTCTCATTATTTTAACATAGAACCAGCATAAATTCCTTTCTTAGTTTTTAAGAGTAGTATGGTTAAGACTGGTTGCTTGGTCAAAATATTTGTGGTCCTGTTGCTGCTTGTTGACCATGAATCACTTGAGGCAATAAATGAGATACCATGATGTTATCTCCAAAATGAAATCACCAAATAACCCAAGGGGGAGTTTTCTATATGTTGGTGGGCACTAATTGATTCAATTTTTAAACATTTTGGAGTGGGTTTTCAAGTGGAGAGCACAAGTCAAATACGGCCTCTTGCAGTTTTGTTTTTACATTGACAATTTGAACATTACAAATAAATAATTCATTACAATAATCTAACTTTAAAACAAAACTAGTTATTTCACTGTGCTGTCTGTTTTTAATGATGCTCTGCAAGATGGAAATAGTATTTATTTGAGCTTGATGCCTGCTTAATTTTATGTAAAAACAAAATTAGCAGCACAGGAACAAAACAGGACATTAATATTTTGCTCAAACAATGACCCCAGAAATTGGCTTAAAGTTCCTACTAAATGTCAAGAAAAGTTTTTTTTTTTTTGAGAATGTTTATAATAATATTCAGTTTAATTTCATGAACGCTAGTTCTCTCAGATAGTTTATGACGTGTGTTAATTCATGGAGGCGGGGGGAGGGGAGGTGGAAAACCTGGAACATAACTCATGCACTTTTTTTGTCAGTGTAAGATTCCGATGAAAGTCTGTTGGTTTGAAATGTTAATTCCTGTTTCTCTGTCTGCACACCCTTTCAGACTTGCTGAATACTTTCTGTGAACTTTTTTTCATTTTTGATTAGTTTGGATTTTCTCTGAGCATTACAGTGTTATCATAATGTTTATAATTAACTGAGATATAAGAAGTACAACACTAAAATGCAACTGTTAAAATTCAAATCAATGTTTTTTTAAAAAGTTTGACTATTTTTGGAACGTGTTTCCTTGTCTCGTGCTGTTGGTTATCAGACCACAGCACATTGTGCAATTATGTATAGACGATGGCCTAGTGGTATTATCACTGGACTGTTAATCCAGAGACCCACTTAACGCTCTGGGGACCCAGATTCGAATCCAGCCATGGCAGATGGTGGAATGTGAATTCAATAAATATCTAGAAATGAGAGTATAACGATGACTGTGAAGTCATTGCTGATTGTTGGAAAAACCCATCTGGTTCGCTAAAGTCCTTTAGGGGAGGAAACTCCTGGGTCAGCACTTATTGTCCATCACTAGTTGCCCTGCAAAAAAGAAACTGCAATGATAAAATTCATTTAAGGAGTGAATATTCAATGGTCTTCCTGCATTGTTAACTAAATCATTACAATAGCTTTCTTCAGTTATGAAATTTACATTATTATTGTAGCCTAAATGTTTGGAACAGCTTTTGGCAGATTTTGATGGAAAGTTTTTATCTGATCATTTTAGTAGTTTGGAAAAGAATTCTGCCAAACATCTGAGAGTAATTTTACATCTTTATAGTGCTGGCTGTAGTCACCGGATATCTATAATGGAGTTGCACAGTTCTCATACAATCTGTTGGCGTTTTATTCATTTAGACTGCCAGATGTTCACCATTTTTGCTCTGTGTATTGACAGTTGTATTCAAACTCACGGGACTAATCACTCCACTTTCAGGCTACCTTTTTTTTTTAATCTGCAGAAAAATCTTTAAATCCCCGGTGTAACTTTTATCTTTACTCCCTCGAGTGCAAGGGGTGAAAGTGTATCTGATGCACGACTGGTTTAGACATTCATCACTAGGTATCACTAGATCAAATCAGGCACTGTTGCAACCTAGACTCCTTCATTTTTGCTTTTAAAAGTTGTCTGCTTCAGGATGATCCTGGAGAGAAAATGCAGTATCTGCCCCTTTTTTTTTTCTCTCAACCAACAATCTCTTTTAGAGAGGGGGGAGGAAACTGCAAATGCTGGAATCCAAGGTAGACAAACAAGAGGCTCCAATAACCCCCTGACTGCTTGCTTCCTCCATCTTTACCTGAAACAATATGAACAGGATGTTAAGCAACTTCTTTGTCTCCATGATTATGACCATTTGTTCAACAGTTTCTGCTGACCTGTTCTGTTGACTTGCCCACAAAGCCAAATTCCCCAGACTCTGTGCTATTCTATTTAACACTGAGCTGTCTGTGGTATCTTGTTCAAGTCTCTTATCTTCTGAGTTCAGGTCGTTTTGAGACCTGTC